AGAAATATCTACAGGAAAGTTTATTATTGTCTGACTGATTGCTTTTGGAACAGTAAGTCTTTGAGTCACTGAAGCTTCGATGCACTCAAATACGAATGCTTTTCAAAAGCTGTCAGAGAAATTATGCTAACATCACTGCTGTCTTGGCACAGCACAAGCAAGCACCATATACAGTGGCTCCCAAAAGTGTTCGTACACTTATGATTTTCATTGAAATAGGGCTCTATACATTAATTAAAAGTAAACTTTCTGAATAAGATTTTAATAATAAGATCTATAATCCATTCATAACAAAATTACATGAAATATTTTTTAAATATAGCGAAACTTTATTTTTAAGAAATTAATAATAAAAAAGACAAACATTATCGTTTGCTGCTTTTTTTTAATTTTTGCATTGTGGTGGCATTTAAAAAAACCTTTGTTTTAATTTTTTTATAGTTTACTTCATAATATTCTATTTATTATAGAAAAATGGGTCGCAGTCATAAAGAAATTACAAACAGCATTCGAAAATTGATAATTTTTCACCATAGCAGTGGTAAATCAATTTAAAATATCGCTAAATTAGTTAATTTATCCCAATCTACAAGTGCAGTATGTGATAAAATGCTTTAAAGAAGAAAATCTTATTAAAAACAAGGTAAGAAAAGTTCGACCGAGAAAGTTAACTAAATGTGATAAGAAATTTATTATTAGAAAATTTGTGAAAAATCCACGTTTGAGTGCTGTAAAAGTTTCTGCAGAATTTAATGCAAAGTTTTCTACTTCAATTTCACCTGAAACCGTTCGACGAGTTCTTAGAGAAGCTGGATTACATGGGCGTTCTGCCCGTAAAAAAGTTTTTGTTAGTGAGAAAAACAGAAAGCTTAGGCATTCACAAAATCAATGATAAATACACCCGAAACGTACTGGAATAATGTCCTATTTGCGGATGAATGCAAATTTAACATTTTTGGTTCCTATGATCGAATAACTGCATGGAGAAGAAAAAATGAGGAACTTCATTCTAAGTACTTAGTTGGAACAGTTAAGCATGGCGGTGGAGGTGTTCTTGTGCCGGGGGTGCATGGCATCAGGACTAGGTAATTTAGTATTTATTGATGGCATAATAATCATTCTCTTTATTTAAATACTTTAAGCGTCAATTTAAAATCATCAGACCAAAATGCGAGTATTGGAAACAACTTTATTTTTAATCATGATAACGATCCTAAGGATATGGCTCTCAATGTTCGCCTGTGGTGTCTCTATAATTGTCCACAGGTTTTGAAAACACCACCTCAGTCACCAGATTTAAACCCCATAGAACACAATTGGAAAGAACTGGAGGTTAAAGTACGAAAACACGACATCAAAACGAAAAGCGAACTCAAAACAGTCATGATGGAAGAATGGATGAGCATTGATATAGAAATTAGAAAAAAAAAAAAAAAAAACTAGTAAAATCTATTTCCAGACTTTAAAAGCTGTTGTGGATACTAAAGGATATCCTACTAAATATTAGTTTAATGAAAAATGAAAATATTTACTAATATGTCGAGATTTTTTTGAAGTGTACGAAGACTTTTGTGAAATAACATGTTTGTCATTTTTTTATTATTAATTTCTTAAAAATAAATTTTTGCTATATTTTAAAAATATTTCATGTAACTTTGTTACGAATAGATTATAGATCTTATCATTAAAATCTCATTCAGAAAGTTTACTTTTAATTAATGGATAGAGCTCTATTTCAATGAAAATCATAAGTGCACGAACACTTTTGGGAGCCACTGTAGACATTAAAAATGGGTAATGGTTTTGTACTGGTGGTGTTTGCTTCTGCTGAGGAACTTGCATGATGCCCTGGTGCACAAGTAAGTGCTGTTTCATCCTGTTGCCTTTATTTCCATCGCCAAGTGGGTAATGCTTCTGTGCACAGACAGCTGCTCATCCTAAATAAAAGAATGACACAGTGCATTTCACTAATTTACAATACACTGTCGAGTATTTTTTATCCTTGGATTTTCACAGAAAAAACAAGTTTTTAGCAACTATTTAAAGATAAAAGAATGTTCATTTTAAGATCTCGAATATAATTTTAATTTCAAACATATTGCAAAACATACAATTTTGTGATCTGCATTAATAATTCTGAAATTCTTGGGCGCCACATTAGCTTAAGCCAATACAAAATTTTCTTTAGCATATTAATATCTAAAAGAATTGCCCAAATAACCATTCCAATAAGGCAGTTTTCCTTCCAGAACATTAAAAAAAATGATTCACTGTGAATGTCTGCTTTCAATCAAATAACCAGATATTTGATGCTTTACATTTCAGTTATATACAACATATATTTCTCAATAAAAAAGCATAAAAATTTTAAAAACTTCCATTTAAAAAATGAAATTATAAGTTAGTGTTTTGCTTGAAGCAAGTCACAAAGAGCCCAGAAATGTTAGAAAATTGCTAATTTAATGAATACCGTCAAAAAGCATTTAACATAATTTATCAGCAAAAACATTTCCTTAATATGGGCCATTCATTACCAGAATTTCATCTGTACATTCATAATTTTCATGGCTATTTTAATGAATCAACTTTGAATGTTCAGGATTGATAAATGCTTATATGTGTGTATATAGAAAAGAAATATAGAGAAAATGCGAACAGAAATTAAGTTTCTTTAATATTTAGAAAGCAATAATGTACACTTGTTATATATATATATATATATATATCATACAGCAGAAGCATAAGTAATATTTGTAAATTGAATTATGTGAGGTAACAATTCATTCACAGATTAAACATGATGCATAAATATGGGAACTTTCCAATTCTCTGCACCCAAGGTTTTTACGTTTGGTAGAACAGCTATGTTTTAGGCATATTTTTTAGCATAAAAACAATATATCACTCACCAATGGATGCTTGTACCCCACATGTGTTTTAGTAGGCATAGATTTACACATTTAATAGTTAACTATCAGTTTGCTGAATAATATCCACTAGCAATTATAACTAAATATCAGCCACAGGGAGTGTTTTTCTTCTTGTAAAATTTCTTGTTTCTTCTAAAAATTCCTTTTTATTATTATTTATGAAGAAAACACTACCCACAAGACATAAAGGTTGCCAAACAAAGTTTTTTACCAATTCACAAAGTCATCAAGGAGTTGGTGTTTTTTCATCAGGATTTGGATAATCAGAAAATACCAAATCTTATTGTTATGAAGGTTCCCCCCCCCCAAATAAGCTGAAGTACAGATTCAAAAATAATTTTTTTCCTCTATCAATCTGAAGACTATCACATATGTTTCTCGAAATGTTCCATTGCAATATAAAAATAAAGAAGTTTTACCATATTTACTCAAAAATATGTTCCTTAAATTTTAGGATAAATATTAAGAAATAAAAATGTAAGCGAATAGTATTTTGTATTGAGAGGATCTTATAATACACTGGGTGTCAGTCCAAACTGAAATTGCTCAGCTAGACGTAGCTTATGCATTTATATATGTAAGAAAAATAAAGAATATGTAAAAGATTAAATTAGCAGCGTAAATTAATTTCCCTTCTCTACTTTAAAAATAGCAACATCTATTTGCACTGCGTCATTTGGAGAAAAATCTATGTCATATGACTCTTACGTAATTCTGGTGATGTAAATTGAACTAAAACTCAAGCAGCCAATAATAATTTTACAGCAATATTAACTATCCAATCAAAATGCTTTGAGAACCAAAACTAACTCAGTTTGACTTAAGATTTCATCCTGAATATAATGCACTTTCTTTCTATGCTTTGCTTTAGCTGGACTGTAGCCTGTCTGCTTCTTCGTTTTTGCTGCAAATATATAAAAAATGTAAGCCTTTTGGAACAGGCACATTTAATGTGCCGACTTGTGTGTAGCTGCAACATGTTGCTGAAAATAAAACTGAAGATTTAATCTGCCTTCGCCTCTAATTTCCTGGTCATTATGGATCAACACTTCTATGCCATCAAAATTCCTGCTCCTGAATATATTACATATATATGGTTATCACCTATGCAGTTTATTTAAATAGTGTAATTAATTTAAGCAGTATGATAATTAAACTCCTTCATATCATTCAGCAATTTCACTTACCAAAATATCAACTTTTAAGATCCTATTCAATTTTAGAACAAAAATATAGTGAAAAAAGAGGTCCTGTTTTCAAGTACATATGTATTTAAATGGAATTCAAAAGAATTTCATAAATGCAAAATTTAAAAAAAAAATTAAATTGTGGGTTATTCTATGTTAACAGATTTTGAGAGAACAGGAGAAAATTTTGAAAAATGAACAGCAATATAATAGATAAAATAATATAAAATAAAAATTAATTCAGAATTCATCCTCAATTCAGTTGAAGCCAAATTTAGCAATATAAATTGGTTAATTTTTGATTGATTTACATAATCTTACAAAACACTGTATAAATGCCAATCTGACTAATATAATGAAGAAATATTCAATGTTTTCATGTTAATATTTCATGAAACATTACATTCTAAAAACATTCATACACCTATTTGAATATCTTCAATAAAACACCGAAGTATTTTAATTGATCTTTAAGTATCACATTTAATTATTAACTAATAACAGAGCTGCACTGGAAGTTATACAATCAAAAATAATGTTGTGTATCATGAAAAAATAACCAAACATTTTAAGAATTAAAAGCACTTCCTCAGCCAAAACCTTACCTAAATCTCAATCTTTGATTAATGAATCCAAACTTTTGTGCTTATAATCAACATTTGGCGATTACTTAGTCATAAAAATGGCATATTTAACAGCCTCACACAGAACTCTTCCACCAACTGTATACTTAATAAGTTAGAAGAATCTGAAAAATGCTTCACATAATAGACAGTTATATTCTATAGCAATTTATACATGTACTTAGATTGAATCTGCCACATGAATTATGTGTACATGAATCTGATGCCAGAGCTAATGAATGCACAAGATGATGCCAATATGTATATATAAATCTGTATATTTGCTATGAAGATAATTTATAATAAATTCCTCACTGAAATTAATACTTTTGGGTAGTGAATAAGTATCAATAACTGTACTAAAATGCAACTTCAAACTTCATATTTGTCCACAGGAATCATCCAGGAGCACCAATGAGCTTTGTTCTGGTAATAACCAAGGTGGAATGCATTAACAATGTAGTTTAAAATTTCATGTTTCAGAATGTGAATCATTGTTATTTTTAGACTGACTTGATCCATAGTTCTCAAAAATTTCCAGGGTCCAGACAGATCTCCTCCTTTTTTCTAGTATTTCGTCAACAGAATATGAACGATCCCAAGTTGCAAGACTCTTCATGAAATCAGTAGGATTGTGAGTGCTTTCTTCTGTCAGAGATGAGATACCTTAAAACAAAATGAAAAGTTATTACATTTCAGTATTTTATAATGTTTCTATAACAGGTTAAAAAAGGGTGAAGCAAATATATAAAGCTGCAAATGTTCAGTCACAGTACTCATTGACCGAGTGATGATATTCAAATTTTGAAAAAGAAAACAGCATTAATATAAAGTGAAAATATAAACGGTAAAAATCGCAGGTTCTTTATTATTACAGCCCTCTTTATTTTACGGTGTCAAGAGCTCTCTTGATGAACTGCGCCACAATGGTAAGCCTACTCGGAGTTCATCTAGAGGAGGTGGACTATAATTGTCTGTGGTTAGGATTGTTGGCCGTTTGGCAACGGTTTGCAGACACCTGAGTAGGTTTGCTGCTTCAATTAACAAGAGGGCTCTTCGCGCTATTTAAACAACGAGGCTGTAATAATAAAGAAATACCAAATGTCACAGTGAGATTTTTTAGGCTTTATATTCAAGGACAACTCACTAACGTGCTCAGAGTGAAAAGGAAGAAATTAAATTATAGCTATAGGCTTCATTTCCTCAGAAACTGTGCTTAGATTTATACTCTCAAAGCTTCTTAACTACATTTTATGGAAATAGTCTCAATGTTATGAGTAAACAGCGGCCCAGCCGGTATAGTGGTTAGTGAATCTGAATGCCGTAGTGATGGGCCCGGGTCCGAATCCTGGAGAAAGCACGGTCAGCCGGTATAGTGGTTAGTGCATCTGAATGCCGTAGCGATGGGCCTGGGTCCGAATCCTGGAGAAGGCACGGCTGTACCTGTCTGTCCCTTCATAGGAGGCAACGGTGGCCACCTACCAGGTGCTTCCACAATGAAATGGCCACCACTTCCGGCCCTTGTAGTGGCGCGAGGCTAATGACTATTAAAAAAAGCGCTCAGCCATTAAAAAAAGTATTATGATTAATGATGCTTGGGGGCGGCTAGCTAATTTTTTTATGGTCTCAGTACAATAAAAATCATTCTATTTGCTAAAATATTTATCATCATTTATTTAGTTCAAATTAAAAAGAGCCATGCGTACTATTCTCGGAGGTACGCTACATAAGCATTTCCCCCACAAACAAAATGACTAGCTGCAAATTTATTGATGAATGCTGCTCATTCGGCGGAACCTTTGATCTTCCAAACAAGGGACATTTATTTTGTACCGATTTTCTAAATTTGCTCTCAAAAGTCTTAAATTTAAAACGGTTAATAGGTATGGAAAAATAATACTGAAGAATAAAATTAAACATATTTGCTGCTAAAGATAATTTCAAGTACTGAACTTTTAGCATTTTTAATGCAGATTTCAAATCCGGTTACCAAACGTTCCTGCGAAGTACTGTTAATAAGCATTCAACTCAGAGACGTAGCCACAGCTTTTGTTGCCCGAGACGATCTGTTCCCCAACAACAACTGGACGTGCACCGAAAATTCTATAATAAGTGAAAATGACATATAGGGAAATAAAGATCTGTATTTATTTTTAAAATAAGACTTTAATTCCAATATTCTATAGTGCTATTTTGTTTATTTTCTAGCTAACAAAATCGGCTGATGACGTTTTGTAAGTTTGTTTCATTACTCCAGTTGCTTTTCTGTACACAGTACAGTAAGATTTCTTAAATGCAGGTAACCTATTATTCCGGTGTATAACACGCACCTATAATTTTAAACTATATTTTTTTAATTTTTAAGTATATTCGCCGTATAGCATGTATACTTTCCCTTATGAAGAAACCTAAAAGGTACATGTGCAAAGCTCTTATCTTTTGAAGTCATTTATTCGAAGATTTTTCTCAAGCTTTTGAGCAATGGCATACTGAATTGATAATAAATAAGCTTAACAATATGTGTCTGGGGAAAATTACTGAGGAGGTAAATTCTGCAAAGATGGTGGGTTGTATTCACTGCAAGTGTGCACAAGAGTGTTATTGTAGGGTTTCTGCAAAAGGAAGACATAATTTGGGGTAAGAATGCACTTCCGACCCGAATGAATTTGCGGAATTTGGAGTCAGATGTTTTCTCTTTCTACAGTCATTTGAAACCTAATTTTGAAGTCAACATCGAAGGTTTTAGTAAATCACATTTGCTTAAATTAGTTGAAATGCAAATGACCTAGTATGGCTAATGCCAAACGAAACTAGAACAATGCTGGTTTCAGAGTCATTCAATTTGCAAAAGAAAATGGATATCGTGTTGCAGCAAGGATGTTTGGTGTTAATCTTCATAAATGAGTAGAAGATAAATGAAATCATAAGAATTAATATACCAAAGAACAAAGCTGCTTTGCGTAAAGAAATAAACAAATTTCCTATCCTAGAAGAAAGTGTTGCGAACTGGGTTCTAGAAAATCACTAAAATGGATTAATTGTAACAAGGAACAGCTACGTTTATTTTCCTTAATATGGACAAAATAGAATGCAAATGAAAGCGAAAACTCCAAAGCAACTTTGAGTTGGTGTAGTCGATTTATGGCACAGAATAATTTAGCTCTACGACGAAAAGGAAAAAAAAAAAAAAGTTTCGCAAAGGTTTCCAAAAGATTTGGACAACAAACTCATAAGTTTCCAGAAGTATGTTATTGACAGACAAAGGGGGGAAAAATTCACTGTCTTCATAGTGAAAATGTGGATGAAGCACTAGCAATGTTTGATATGATACAAAATAAAAAAACTGGTGTGAAATGAACAAAAATGGTTCACGTTAAAAAAACAGGTCACGAAAAATCTCATCTTACCCTAATGCTCTCTTGCTTAGCCGACGGTACAAAATTAAAACCCATGGTTATTTTTAAAAGAAAGACGATGCCGAAATGCAATTTCCCATCATGTTCACGAAAAAGGACAGATGGACGAAAACGGGGTGAAACTGTGGATAAGAAATATTTAGCAAAAGCGTACTATTGCCTTAAAGAATCCAGAAAGTCATTTGGACATAGTCAAATACCATCGAACGAATAATGGGAAGAAATTGTTGAAAGAATGTAATGCAGAGATGGCAGTTATTCCAAGCAGATTAACACTACCAGTTCAGTCTTTAGATGTGTATATCAGTAAACCATTCAAAGGAAATTTAAAACGCCAGTGGAATACGTGAATGTTATAAGCTGAAAAAAAATTTCAAACGGAGGCCAAATGCGTCATTACAGTCTAGAAATAGTGCAATGAGAGGATAATAAAAGCATGGAATGAAATGAAACCCGACATAATTCAAATGTTATCTAAAAAATATATATTTAACAATTTAGATAGAATGTAAGATGATTATTTATTTATGCATCAGAGTAGCTGTGACGGTGAAAATGAAACATAATTCGATGATGTCCCTGAAGATATAACGGAAGACAAATATGACGAACTTTTCTTGTTATCCGATAACGAAAATTTTTAAGTTCATAAAGTATATCATTTCCTTTAAATAAACAGCATTTATGTACATGCAGAAATCTTATTTTTATATTCCGATCTTGTCCGTATTTTTAAATCTATCATTTTTATATCCAGTATATAACGCGCAACCTTAAATTTGGATCTTATTTTTTGTATTAAAAGTGCGCATTATACGCCAGAATATACTATACCGATTTTAGGACTTAAATGCTTCCTAACCCATTTGTAGTTAAAAAAATTCTTCTCAAAACAAGTAATACATTTATAGCAGTTGTAACAAAACTCGGAGAAGTAAAATAGGTACTATTCCGTTTTGAGGACCGTAAAAAATTGCAGCGAAAATGTACGCGCAAAAGCGCCAAATCTAGCAAACGCGCCCATTTAACAGGGCGCCAAATCTAGAGTTCGCGCTGATTTCAGATTGCGTAAGTTTAGATAGTTCTATATTTCTTAAGACGCCATTGAAATACTAGTTTAATTTTTAAATCCTTTTTTGATAATCGCTATGGAATTTAACAATTTGGGAATGGCCCAGTGATGAAAAGTCTGCAGTAGAATTTTTTCAAAGAAAGCATTGTTCATTGTAGAAAATTATGTTTGAACAACCAACGAGATGAAATTATGCTTTTATAGATAACTCGGTAGCGAAATAGCGAAGCAGGAATCCATTCAATCATGTTTAGCCTTTTTTTATATAAATTATAATAATGATCTGGAATAGTTTTTTACTCTTATTCTTCCATCAGTTATGAAGTTTTTATATAATATAATAATAAAAAGCCTTATATGAAATTAACTATTCATATAAATTAAAACAATAATCTTTAGATAGTTATTTACTATTACACTTCCTTTCTTGCGTTAGGGTAGCCGCAAATTATTTTTGCAGCACTGGCTCAAAAATAGTTTGGCGATTTTTTACGGTCCTCAGAACGGAATAGTACCGTAAAATAATATTTGGAGCACCATCCTTCTAACCCTCCCTTTCGTTTCTTCAATTGGTAACAAAGACAAAACTCGGAAGTATTTCTCCCTCATGAACTCTCCGTTATTTATATAATTATGATTACAATTTAAACGACATTCGTTGTTTTTCTTTCAAAATCAAAATTAATAAAGGCATAGCAAGATTATGAAGATGCTGAAATCTTCCGTAATTTCTTTGAGAACTCTGCCCCATATAAAAACAATGCCCACTTCAATTCAATTTCGTATGAGGATTCAACAGCTCGTGATTCTTCACTTCAACCCTAACTGAGTAGATAAGATGGCTAAATACCGGTAGTTAATCAACGAGTTGGCTGCATGCACGTTTTCGTGGTTTATCTTATGTGTAAGCCCCACACACAGTATAGCGGTTAGGGGAGCCTACTGCGGTAGCAAAGGGCCAGGGTTCGAATCCCGGCGAATACATGGTTGTCTGTCCCTTCATAGGAGGCAGTGGTGACCACTTATTTAGTTGCCTCCACAATAAAATGGCCACCACTTCTGGCTTTAGGAGTGGCCAATGCTGAAGAGGCAAGTGCCCACCATTGGACTACCTTATGTGTAGTATCGGGAATCTAACGTTGTATTCATGCATTTATTTCTATTTGTTTAAATTTATT